CCCCCCCCCCCCCCCCCATGAGTACGCCCCTCCCCCTTGGGTTCAGACATTCGTCTTCTTAAGCCGCATTCCTGAATGAATTCCCCCCCGTCTTGACATCCCGCGCCGTCCTAATGGTGACTCAGGTTCATCTGGTTGATGGAACCTGACGTGGTGCCTGGCTCGAGGTTCCTGTACCTTCTCATGCACGTCTCCATGGTTAAGGACATGGCGGGAGTGTACAGCAGCGAGGGAGGCGTGATGCCCGCCGCGCAAAGGCAACATCGGAGGTACATATACATTGTGGTGTAGTTTGTCGTCGATGCCTTTTCTTCGAGTTTGATGCCGGTGTGTCTACCAAGGTCGGTTGTGCGTCTAACAACCACCCCTCGCGGTCGTACACGCATTGATAACATCGTGGTACTTTTTTTTATTTTGTCGTTGGTTGTACTTTTTCTTCGAGTTGCGGTGCCAGTGTGTCTACCCAGATCGGTTGCGCGGCAAGTATCCACCTTCCACGTTCGCTCGCGGTCTTACACGTACGCGCCTTTTTATTTGTTTTTTTGCGACGTAGTTGGCGTTTTTTTGCCGAAAAGTGTCCCCTGTGTTCGTTTCTACCTCCGTTGCCTGGGGAAGTTGCCTCTGCGTTGGGAACCTTCCAACCTGCCGTAAATCGAATCGTGCCAAACTTAGACATTCATGAGTAACCGTTACCCTCTCACCGGTACAGTACAGGTCAACGAACATCGACATCGCCTAGCCAATCGTGCCAACTGCTTAAGAAGTATGAGTGCTGCTGTACGACCCCCCTTCCCGCATGTGTGGTGATTACCACACGTCGACGAACAGCGATACAAGCGCGTCCTTCGACGGAGGGGCGACGACCCCGTTCGCCCTGTGGGATACCCCCACCTCCTCCGCACGGCATCAAGAACAAGAACATCGACACCTGTCCGATGCCGCCGACGCGGTTCCTTCGGGAGATGAAGCAGCAGCGGGGGCCCCGCGGATACCAGTCGACGGCGACGAGGGCGGGGGGGTGGCCTTGGGTTTAGGGGGAGCGGCGGGGTTGGGCACGGCTGTGTCGGTTTTGTCTCCCGCGGACGTGCTGTTTTCGCAGTGGTTCCTTCACAAGGACCTCGTAAGGCTCCTCTTCCGAGAGAAGTGGGCGGGGGTGGCGTCCGGGAACGGGGGCAAGGGCGGGCCCGCGGTGAGAGATAGTTTTGTTCAGCGCTCACGTGTGTTGTGCTGTGCCGTTCCGTGACAGGCTTTGCATGCCGTGTTATAATATTTATGCTCGGTGAGAGGTCGTGTTTTTCAGCGCTCCCGTGTGTGTTCACATGAGTTCGCAGTGCGCGCTCGCTGTGCCGTTTCATGACTGGAGGAGCATGCCGTGCTTTTGCTTCCGCCCACTCGCCAGTCGAGGCCACCACCACCACGCCATGCGTTTTTTTGCTGCGCTGGTTCTGTCGCTGATCGGTGTTGTGCGCGCGTGAGACAGTTAGGGCGGGTGGGGCAGAGGGATGGGGTTGTTGTTGCGTCGCGTCGCAGTGTTTGGCGTGACGCGCCTCTCGGCCACTTTGTTGACTGTGCGGTTTCGATGTAGAGATGCGGCTCCGCCACCTATGCTCGCCTCTAAACGACCGCTCTTGCGTCTACCTCCTGCCCCTTGTTTCGCTTTTTCTGCGGGTTTTTCTGTCTGTCGGTCTGTCGGTCGGTCGGTCTGCCTGTTTGTGTGTCCGTCTCTCCTCTCCCTCTGCGTGTGTCCCTCGGTCTGTTGGTGTCTCTGTCTATCCTTCTCCCTCTCTCCCTCTTTCTCGCCCCCCCCCC